GGCATATCCATTTACATCAGAATTTTTATATGAAAACAATTTTTAATATAGCAATACATTAAATGTATTATTGAAATTTGAACTTCACTGATGTCCTATATTTTACTTGACTATGTTAAAAATTAAAAAGAAATAATTGAGGATGGAAAAAAGAGAAAGTAAATTGATATCCCATATCAAATTGCTAAGCCTGAATAAGATTTTTAGGGCTTTATGCTTTGTGTCTGACTTGATCTGGCCCTAGTTTTGTCCTGGTGGACTACTTGTACAGAAGTATGAATGCTATCCACTTGTCTTTATGGGAAGGAAACCATGTTTATGGAACTTCATCAGACAGAGCCTAGGTGGTATATCTTATTTCAAAAGATCCAACTTCAAAATTGATGACCTGAACAAATAATTTTTAAGGAAAACCTATCAATATAAAAAAATCAATCATTACAGAGTATGCTTGGAAGAGACAGTATTAGTGGTGAGTTGTTTTGGTAGCTGATGGAAATAAATGTGAATCTCGTAAGTCAATTGTGTTTGATAACATCAATGTTCATGGGGACTCAGAGAAATTTTAAAGCATATACCCAATGAGATTTGGTTAAATTTTATCATAAACCTAATTTCTGATTAACTTTTAAATTTGACTTGTAGCAATGAAACAAAAAATAACGATGAATTAAGGCTGGTAATAATGTGCCCTTTTTCTTTAGGATAATTTTTTATAAGATATAATAATATACTTAATCACTGACAAGCACATAGTTTTGACTCACACAAATATACATTTAGAACTAATAACTATGAAATAGTATCACCAGTGAGATAAAAATTACACAAGTTTCAACAGATTCAATCAACACCTTTTACAAATTCTACAGAATATTTTATCATTGTCATTAGGAAAACAAACAATTTGGAGCATTATTGAAAACCATATGACACACAGGAACTACCAGTAAGTTATGGCAAATACAGCATTTACACCACAGTGTCACCAAAACCTAGCTAGAAAGACTAAAGTGTTGTAAAAATCAAATGCTTTGAAAATCTTGCTTAGCATATCCTGAGGGGCACCGTGCATGATTTTCTCTTAGCAATTCAACAATGACAATACCAATGGAGTTCCTATTTGTAAAATCAGACAATCAGACACCTAATGAAGACATGCATTTCCTGAGACTTTCAACTTTCTAATCTGGAATCCTAGCAGGGGAGATGCTGAATGGGGATTCTGCCTACAGACATATTAGAACCTCTAAGGACTTAAAATATTTTTAAGGGAAGATGTGTACTCATTTGTAAATTATATTAGTCTACATCAGATTCTCTAGCTTAAATTCTAAAGCACAATATCAATAGACTATTACTGCCAGGCATTTCCTATCTCTAACATTTCTCTTTTTTCATGATTTTTGTTTAAATAGTTAACTTATGTGTATACCTACTAAAACTGAAATAATTGATTTCAAGAGTTAAAGACTGCTAGAGAAAACAGGTTGGATGACTAGGTGTAGCTTCACCTAATTTGAAAAGTGTGTTGTATTTGTGTGTGTGTGTGCGTGTGTGTGATACACAGGTGCATTGTGCCAAACATGTAGGCCCTAATACATTCACTGTTAGGTGGCCCTCTATGATATGTGTTTACCCAGTATGGCTGCAAGTGAACATTGAGGTCATCTTATAGAATATCCTAAGGCTTTTAAAGCATGCCTCCTCATTCTCTGTGTTCACGTGACTATGTAGTAAGATGGGAGACACAAACGATGATGGCAGAAGTATTCTTTTTCTCCTTCAAAATTGCTGACAGGGAAGCAAATGTAAAAATGATTATCATTTGCTTATTTTCCCTCATTTTACCCACTCTTTTGATTGGGTAAAAGTTGGATTTTTGTTTTTTTGCTTTGTAGGACTTGTAACATAAAGTCTTAATAAACAAGCAAAACGAAAAGTAAACCAAGAGGTATTTTACTACCATCTTGGGGCTTATTTGTAGCCCTTGTACTTCAGGATCTCTGGAAAGACAATGACCAGCTAAGACACAGGAGCACAGACTGAGAGCAAACTTTAATTGCATATCATCATTTCTGATATCAAACTTTAATTATATATCATCATTTCTCACAGCTCGCTCCCTAAGTGTGTACAGGGCAGGGTCAATGAGCAGAATACCATCAGAGGTACATTCTCACCATTCCCCTTTCCAGGGAATCTCTTTCAGTAAATTCTCTCATGACCTACTTCTACCTCTGTCTTCTAGAAATTAAGGCAAGTCTGTTTACCCTCTGCCTGCTACATTAGTGCTTGGGAACACATGGAAACTGTAACATTGGATTTAAAGTACCTTATGCCTAGCAAGATTTCTGGGTGCATATCAGTAATAATGAGGAAAGGATTTCCTCAGTTAAAAAACTCTACAGTCTAATGCTTCATTCATGTTTATTCTTTCCAGCACCCAAATGATAAATATTTCAAAGCTTATTCTATGCCAACACTATAAAAAAGCATCTAAAATCAAGAAAACACAACATAGTTACTTCTATGCTGAATTCATTTTCATTCATAGGTTGAAGGATGTGTTTCATGTCATATTTACAAGTTAAATTCTTGTGTCAATGCAGATGAGCTTGGTTAAAGATGCTCCCAAGGGGTAAATAATGAATAATCAGAAAATCTTTCCAATGGACTAATTTACAGAGAATAAGTTTCAATCAGCAATAATCTTATAAAAGGATTCACATTCCATCCCCATGAAGATAAAAGAGATAGAAGGAGATAAAAGATAGAAAGGCTATCAGTGCTAGGGAAGAGAAAATGAAAAGAAGGAAAAAAACTGTATTTTATAAATATTTAAATAACAAGCTATAGTTTTGTCTACCAAAGTACTAAGGAGGATCAAGTTATAATATAATTACAAAAAAATTTCAATATGATTAGCTATTCTATATTGAAAGATTTAATTGCTCTTTTTCATACATTGTTAAGGAGCTCAGGCTTAAAATTAAATTATGTACTATGATCACTATTTTTACTTGAAAAAAATTTTACTGCTTGTCTATAATCTGTGTGCTTTTGTATCTATGCATCTGTCTACCTGCACAGAAGTGGATATCTATTGTATACCATGTATTTCTCTCTTTATATATGTATATATACACACACAAAACTGAAATGAGTAAACATATGTGTTGTGAGCATATGCATGTTACTTGATCTACACATATGATATTTTCATAAACAGTTTCTTCAGTATAAACAGTTTTTGTTCCCTTTCTGCAGTATCTGATAGAGTACTTATATTCTCAAAATTACTCTTATTTATTTGTAATCCTTACATTGAGCATCTTGAAATTAACTTCCTACCTAAGTCTAAGAAGTCAAGTCTTTGGTCTCCATTCAAATATAATTAATGGGTTGAAAGCATGCTATGGGCCACTTGTAATGGAACTACATTGTCCCAAGAGCCTATTTGGGTATGACTGCATCTAAACACGAAGACAAAATGGTAAGAATAAGTGTAGGAATGTCAGAAAATTTGCTAGAGTATTACAAATGATTCCTAAATAATCCTGTGGTATGCATAAAGAAGGGGAGTATGCTCTGCGAACAGGGTGTTTTAAGATGTCAAATATTAATACATTTTTATTAGGGATAGCTCTGTTATCTTTAAGTAGCTGTTATGAAAGGGCTACCATTCAACATGACACTTTGTAAGTACAATGAGTTATCAAATATGAAGACACTAAAGTTGATTTAACACTTAACAGTGTGTAGTATGTTTTCATTCCTCTTCCCTATATATCTGAATTACTGAGAGTTAGGCAGAGATACTTTGTTATTGTATTTCTACCCTCTGCCTTAATCTTACCTTTGAAATAGGCTGGAACCCAGATATGGTAAGATAGTGCCGATTTTAAACAAGTCGGTTCATATCACACATATTTCAAGAATTTTCTTCAGTCATTTTATGGATCAGTGTGATTTTTACAGACATAGCTTCAAAAACATTGCTCTAACTCCTTTCACTTGTCTTCCCTTCCAAACTCAAATTGAAGTTTCCCACAGAATATTTTTTTTCTCAAAATCTGGGGTTTATAACTTCGTATTTGGAAATTTCAATCTGGCATGAAAGCAAATTTATTTTTCCTTTTAAAAATAAAAATTGTGAACAGGGCTTTTGGAAATGTTCTTTTAATTTTTTTTTACTTAAATACACTTCTTTTAGCTTGTCAATGACTGGAAGTGGCAGGACATTGCTATTGAATTAACAGTGTGTTGACCTGCCCCTATCTCCTTATTTTTTGCTATGGAAGTGGCACTCATATTCCTTCTAAAAAAGTTTTTACACTATGGTTATAGCTGCCTTACAGAGAAATACTTGGAAACACTATTGTTTTCAAATAACACAAAAATCACTGATTATGACTTCCAATATGACTGATGCAGGAAAGCTGATTTGATGCATATTTTCTATCACCAAAGGTTATCTATGATGCCAATAGCAAGTGACTACAGAATATTACACCAAGTCCCACAAAACAAGTAAATTTCAGTACAACAAGGTAACACACAGGAAGCTGGGCATTCAACTGTTTTGAGACCCACACCACAGCATCTGATTAGAAAGAGCAAGCGAGCAAGAGAATGAGCAGAAAGGTTAGAGGGCATGGACAGCTGAGGAGCCCTAGGTCGAAATAAGAAAACACAATCCAATAATCACTTGTGAATTACACAATACAGACTTAAGTTTGGTAAAACAGATTTACTGTTCTCCATTATCCCTAACACTAGAAGTAGCTTTTGCTCACCAAATGGGAAATGAAATATTTATAGCAATGTAGAGTATAATTATAATCACTGAAGAAGCAATTTCCCCCTTATTCCCACCCACTTCTAGCCCTAATCCCCACAGAGACTCGGTGGAATAGGAGGATCAGAGCGTTTACAGAGAATATGCCTAATACAATGATTCTTCTCTATCTTACTCATGGACACTCCCAATAGTGACATCAGGTATTGGCTTCTCCTTCATCAAAGACATAGTTGAGCTTTATGACAGTGCTGATAAAATCACCAAGTTCTACAAAATCAGCAGTGACAATATTGATGCCGCTCTCCCCCGGCTTCTGCGTGCGGACCCACTGCATCATGGCAGGAAGCGCTCTGAGAAAAAAAGGAAACAGACCCATCATGAGAGGCAAGGTATGGTGTTCACATTCTATAATTCTCAAATTTCCATTTGGGTTTCCAATTCATTAAAATAAATGCCCCAACATAAATATGAATGGAGACAAAAAAAGAATCAATGGACTATGGTGAATTCTTCTCAGCAACCCTACAAATACCTCACAGGGAGTTTCCATATTGGTCCATTTGGACTCTTCATCTTTGGAGATCTCAGAAACTGTGATTGTCTAAAATGAAACTTGCTTTTGTATTCTAGTATATATAACTTTACAACCTACAAAGCTATGGAGGTGGTAAAGTGAGAAATGCATGTGTGCACTTAACAAACATTTATTATGAATCCACTATTGCCAGGAAATGTGGTAAGATATTGAGAACAGTAAATGTTCAAAAGGTTCATGGTTTGATGATAGGCAGGTAGACAAGGAATAAAATTATAATATGGCAAAACCAGAGCGCATTCTTTCATTCCCACTTAAGTGGTCATCTATCAAGATACAATTCCCACTATAAGCACATTTCAAAAGTGAAAAAGATAAAATTTTTTCCTTTATCTATGCATATGTACACAAAGAAATTGACTAAAAGCCTATACAGGAGGAGGATTCCAATGCTGTACCTCCTTTAAACAACTGTTACAGTTTAACAAAACGAATACCAGGAAGCAGAAATATGTTTTGTCAGAGCAAGCTGGAGATCCAAGAGTGGGAGGAAAGCAAATAGAGAGATCAAAGGTGGGCTAATACAGTCATGACATTCAATGTACATGTGTGAAATGGTAGGATTAGAATAGGTGGTGGGAGAATGATAGGATGACCAAGATGCATTGTACTCAGAAATTGACATGTTGAATAGAAACCCCTTTGTAAAATTACTTACAGATAATAAAAAGTATCTCCTTTTGTAACATGTGGTCATCATAAGTAAATTTTATAGCTGGACAACGAAAAGAATAAATGGAGTAAAGAAAAGTGGGTCTGTGTGTGTTGCTGGTTATCAAGTCTTTAAGTTTAAAGGCTTGAACAAAAGAGGGAGTTAGTCATCTGGCCATTCAGAGCAAGCATCCCAGCTATTGTAATGGACTAAAGGTGCATCATACCTTAGCTTAGAGAAAGGAACAGGAGAGGACTAAAAGATGAAGTCAGAAAGACAATTAAAAACATGGGTGGCACCTGGGGCCTGGTAGGCTACCATGAGGGTTTTGAGACACATTAAGTAAAATGTGGGGACTCTGGAGAACCTTGAGCAGAGGAAGTGGTATGATTGACTTTCTTTATAAAAGCTCGCTCATTGAAATGAGTATGGAGAAAAGTCTACCCAGCATAGTTTAGAATGTCAACAATAATGTTTCAGAAGAATGATCTCTGAGCTAGAGATATGAAGGGACTAGTAGGTGAAATATTTATCTGAGAAAAAAATGGGAGTGGGGGGTGGGGATAGAGAAAATATCACTTCCTATTCATTGACACACCTTACTGTGTGCTTAAAGCAGAGCTGCAGATAAGTAGATAATAAGGAGATAATATGCACAATGGAGCAAAAGTTACTTTGATCTGAGTGGGGAAGGAAGAGAGGATTCTATGGTAAAAAGCATAAATAAACTAAGACCAAAGAGATGGCAGTGTATTAACAAGGTTATATAAACATATGTGAACCTGACCCTTCAGAAAGACATGAAGAAAGGGAGAGATAAGAAGGGGCGAAAGAGAATGATGAGTTTGAGGACCTCAAGCAAGTTGTAAGGAAATTTAAGGAATTGTTAAAAGGTATTGGAGAAAGCAGAGAATCAGGTCCTAAAGGGCCCAGAGAAATGTCTAACAACTGAAAGCTGTTAACTAAGGGTTATAATTAAATTTGTGACATAGAGACTACAGCTTTCTTTCACTGTAGATAAATAAATAGAAGAGTGTAAGTCTTGGGACCGGAATAACCATTAGAGAAATTAGAACTATCAAGCAAAAGAAAGAAATAGAAGATATCTGAATTGGAGAAGAGAAAGGTAAATTGTCATGTTTTCAGATGACATAATTGTGCATATAGAAAATCCCAAAGATGAAACAAAAATATTAAACTAATAAATTCAGTAAAAGTTGCAGAACACAAATTGACCAAATTTGGTATTATTGCTGTACAGAATTAACAAATACTTTTTCAACTCTGAAAGGAAGAAATAGAAAAATCATGTGTCCAAGAGCTTAAAATACATAGGAATAATTTTAAACAAGGGATTTCTCTAATAAAAACTATAAAAATAGGCAAAATAAATTGAGATTATGCATAAATGCGCACGTGCATGCGCACGCGCGCGCGCGCGCACACACACACACACACACACTCACACACATACACACTCACACACATAGTACTCAGGAGGCTGAGATCTGAGGATTGCATTTCAAAGCCAGCCTGGGCAGGAAAGTCTGTAAGACTCTTATTTCTAAAGTAAACTACTCTCTGAAAAAACCAGAAGTGGTACTGTGGCTCAGGTGGTGGAGCACTAGCCTTGAGCATAGAGAAGCTCAGGGACAGAGCCCAGGCCCTGAGTTCAAGCCTCAGGACTGGCAAAAAAAAAAGTGAAAAGAAAAAGAAAAATCTGAAACAGACACAGGTGCATTTGAGGTCAGTTGGAACACAGGTGTTGTGGTTATGCATACGCCTTTACTCATGCTGGAATCCCTTACTACTCTCTCTTCTGGGCTTGCTGTCGCAAATGAAGTAGCTCTGTTATGGACACAACATCACCCTTGCATGTGAGAAAAGGTAGACGCTCTTTGGAAAAATGCCACAAAGTGTATTTCCTGGGAGGGATGTTTTTTCAACAGGTGGCTCACCTTGAGGTCAAAGGCAGAATAAGTAGAGTGATACGGAGGCCTGTATCCTATTGTGCATTTACCTTAACCGAGTAGCTTGTTCACTTGGTCCCTGGTCCCTTGGGTACTAGGTCCTCATAGGTCTCTGAACATCCAGCCCTTCATCCTGGAACCATGACTATCACAGAAACAGCATTCTGAGACTGAAATTCCAGACTCTGAATTTAGAACTAATTGTCATCCCCATGGAGAGGACTTAGGAAAACACCAGCGTGCTCTTTTCTGTTGCTCTATAAAGTAGATTGCTTTGAAGATTGATGAAACATTCTTCTGGAATAGCTTGTAGTCCTCAGATGAAACATGAGCATTACACTTAAAATATCATTTCTCTGAGTCATGGGAATATTTTTATTTTCTGTGCAGACATTCTTTACTAAAGTCAATATGATACCAAAGACAAAACAAGCAATGATGCCAGAATGACTCTCAAATACTCAGACAGTCCTAAGTAGAATTATATTAAACAAAAGACACACTATACTGGATTAAAACTAGCAAATAAGCACTACTGAACATTATTTTTATTTTATTTTCCTGTAAATATGCTGCTGACATCTATTTAGAGTAGCTTTTCTTAACCCCTTTTCATTATTGGACCTCAAGGAGCCTTCTAAAACATCTTTTTTCCTATTTACTTTACTCCTTCATGGTATTTGAATATCACAGAAAGACTGCATATCTATATAACTGTGTTTATATCATTTGGATATCTGTAATACACATCTTTGTCTATGTATATCTCTGTCTATCTATAGTGTGCATATTGTGTGTGTGTTTGTGTATGTGTATATGTATGTATGTGTGCAATTTTCCCCACTTGGGCACAACAGTGCAATCGAAAATTTAGGATTTACAGCTAATTGGCAAGTTCTCAGTTTACTTAGTATGGAACAAAGAAACGTAATGAGTTGACAAGTCTGTTTTGGTGGCAATAAAATATACAAATATATCAAATATACAAAATATATCAAATATTTATGGCTTAATCTATTCAGGACTGGTGTAACAAAACCTAGTATGTTTAGAAACAAAAGACATTTATTTCTTACAGATCTGGGGATTAAAAATATAAGATGAAGACACTGGAAAGATTCAGTGTCTGGTGATTTATAGATGGTACTTGTATATAGAAATGTACTCAAGCTCCCTTGACCTCTTCTACAAGAATATTCATTTCCTGCATGAGACTTCTGCTCTCCTTAATGCCTCACCTATTAACCTTAGAGCATCTTAGAGTTTAGAATCTTAGAGTTTAGTTTAGAATTGTAGCACATGAATAGTTGATGGATATAAATCTTCAGAAAGTGGTTAAGTCAAATTCATTAAGCTTTTGTTTTGCTTTTTCCCTTCCTTCCTTCCCTCTTTCCTTCTTTCCTCTGTCCCTCCTTCCTCCCCCCTTTCCTTCTTTTCTTTATTGGTACTGGGGATTGAACCCACATCTTATACTTGCTAGGCAAGAGACTTCCTTCAACTATACCTCAGCCCTTTTCCTCCCCATTGTTATTATTTTTTAAGATAGGGCCTCACCACCTTTGCTCATATCAGCCTCAAACTCATAATCCCCCTGTCTCCACTTCCTGAGTTGCTGGGATTATAGCTGCATGCAACCATGCCTGGCTTGAAGTTTAATTCTTATTTTTTCACAACTCTCCATTATATAAAGTGTTATTCTTGCCGAATTTTCTTTGACTAGTTTTTGCTTACCCTTTAAGATTTGGCTTTTCCCATCCCTGGGAAAAGCTTTATAGCTTTAAAAGCTTTATAGCTTTTAAACTTTGATATTTAAGTAGATCTAGAATGCTTCATTGACATTACTAATTTCCAGGCCTATTGTTATTAGTGCCTGTAGACTTTTCAAAACACTTTCAAAACAGAAACAAAAATCATTCCATGTCTATCAATATATTCATGGTATCTACAGAATTGTCTGAAATTCAAAAAGAATACAATACATTTATTGAACTCAAGTGTAACTATAAATCTTGGGCTCAGATATTCTAAAGAAAAAGAAACTATATATATGTTTACATACACACACACACACACACACACACACACACACTATGGGACATAGATAAAATAATTTCTTTTTCTTGGAAGAATTTA